AAATGTTGCCTTATTTCTACTCTGCTCCTCTTTCCCATTCCTTGTTGGGGATGGCTTTTGCCAAAATGTGAACAAGCCATTTGTTATTCTACTAAATTAATCTGAGAGCTGCATCTTACTCCAGATTCCTCATTCCTGGGGTTTACACTAGCCAAAGTGAAGAACAATGTACAGTGGTACATTGACCGGTACCTCCGGTCACAACTGTGATCTGTTCCAGGACTTTGGTTGGCACCCGATTTGGTCGTGACTGAAAGCAAGACTGACTACACATGTGCGCACACAAAAAAATGGCATGAAAGGGAAAATCGCTGCGGCTGTGATTGATCGCCACCCGAAGATGTGTTCTTGAACAGAGTGAAACATTTAGCGGATATTTTGGTCAGTGACCCAAGGTTCCACTATGCACAAAACTGGAGGGAAAAAAAATTAGAATCAAATTTCAACTATAAAGATCCTCAGCTGTCCTTTGAGACCAAAATCACATGAAGCCACTTAAAGACAGCAAAATAGTACATGAGGACACATCATGTGAAAGCACTCAGACAATTTTCTCAGGAATAAAAGATGTCTTTCAGATTTCAGACACTGCCAATGAGGGGGGGGGGGAACCTTATTAATTTTGGTTCTCATATTAAGACAAAATTGTCAGATTATGAATAAAATCAAACCCACAGAGTCCAAGAGATTTACCTTTGTGATTAAAACTGTTTAACAACTTGTCTGTTAAACTCCCTATAAAACACCTATTGGTAAAACGAAGCAAGAACCCTTTCCACGTTTGTTTAAAATGAGAATAATCTGATAACTGAACTATTTCCCACCATCTATATGCAAAATATAATTATATACACATAAAACAGCTGCCCTGTATGCAGGTTTTGTATAGTACAAATTAGAGGAAAATCCTTTAATCCAATGTTTTTTATCACTCATTTTTCATACAACTCAGGCATTAGTATTGATACCCTGTCCGCAAGTGGATCAAAAGTCTTTTCATGGAATCAGAGGCTTCTTGGATGCAAAGGGTTCTTGCATTGTCATTATTGCAAAATTGCAGGGTTTTGCCACCTTTTCCTAAGATTTCTAAACATTTAAATCTCTTTCCGCCCAACTGTGCAACTGTAGAAGTCATTCTGACAGAGCAGGAAGAGTGGGAACCAGATGCGGTACTATGACAAAAAGAGATATAAACGTGGGGACTCAGTTCAAGGTTGGTTTAGGATGTGGAAAAGCAGGAAGAGCCATGGTGGGGCAATGGTTAGAACGCAATATTGCAGGCTAGTTCTACCCACTGCCAGCAGATCGATTCCCACCGGCTCAAGGTTGACTCAGCCTTCCATCCTTCCAAGGTAGGTAAAATGAGGACTCAGATTGTTGGGGGCAATAGGCTGACTCTGTAAACCGCTTAGAGTGGGCTGTAAAGGTGCTGTGAAGCGGGATACAAGTCTAAGTACTATTGCTTTCACTGTGCACAAGATACAGAAGCGTTCCGGTCCAGCCGAAGGGAAGGAGAGGACGAAGGCGCGACAAGCAGGTCGCGCGGGCGGGGCATGTGGAATCAGGGAGAGAACTCCGCCCCCTTCCCGCGGCCTGAGTCTCTCACCTGCTTATTGGCCTCGTCGAAGAAAACGCAGTTAACGGGGCTCGCCTTTTCGAACTGCACGGGCCGCGCGCACAGCGCCAAGTAATAGTCCTCGCTGGTGGTCGTCGCCATGGCAGCAGTAGAACGATCGGCAGGCAGAGAGTGCCTCGCGCACCCCACCTCCCTCCCCCACGGCCACGCCCCGAGGTTCGACCGATCTGTTTTCGCTCACCGCCCCCCTCCCGGCGCCACAAAGCGGTTGGTGCGTGAGGGCATGTAGACGCACGAGTCTTCCTTTCTTCGGTGCCGAACGGCCGCTTCCTGGTAGTACCGTTCTTGCGCATGATCAGAGAGCTACCGGTCCCTTAAAGGCGCAGTGCGAGGGAGGAGCCGTCGAGATTGGCATGTGAAGTCCCAACGTTCTAATTCAGGGGTCCCAAACTTGGCAACTTTAAGACTTGTGGGCTTCAACTCCCAGAATTCTCCAACTCTGCTATACTGGCTGGAGAATTCTGAGAGTTGAAGTCCACAAAGTTGCCAAATTTGGGGACCCCTGTTCTGAAGCCTGATCTGAGGCTGATCTCTTTCCCGGTATGTGAGCAGGTGTAGAATTAACATGGCACTGAATATTTATTTAGTCATTAAATGTATGTGCCGCCCATCTCAACATCGAGCGAGCTGGGCGGCTGACAACATAATTAAAAACGAGTTTACAATATTAAATTTTGCTGATTTAACAGTTACATTTGAAAAAGAGGGAAAGCGGGTGTATATGTGCACACGGTGTTTTCCTCTGGCACTTAGACCGATGATTAATTAGGTGCCCATCAGTCGGATATTTTCTCTCTGATGTGTTCCTCAGCTCTTCGCACGGTGTATGCATTGCTATTAAGCTGATTGCATCCACCTGGCTGCTAGTCGTCCTCATTTATCCCACTTTACCCAGCATTAGTTCCCCCACCCCACCACGAATCCACAAGAGTAATTTGAGCCTGGTCATTTGTGCCCCAAGTGTGAAGTCCAACTTAATCATTGTTTGATAATCCGTTTTTTATTATTCCTCAGGTTTTTTGCCTACCAACGATAAAATCTTGTGTTTGAAAAGTTTTTGTGAGACAGCAGATAAATTTGCAGTTTAGTTCTACAAACATTAATCAACAATCCAGTTACATACTTGTGCTAAAGGAGGAGGCAGACCCACTTCAAAGACCTATTTCCTTGCTAAACTCAGACTATAAGCTATTTGCTTCAATTGGCAGAATAGCTTAAAAAATATCTAAACAATTTTATCCTGATCAAAATGGTTTCTTACCAAAGAGACAAAGTAAATATAATATGAGAATAATTATAGACACTTTGAAATATTATGAGGCACACCCTAAAAAACAAGTGGCTCTGATGTTTTTAGATGCACAGAAAGCTTTTGATAATGTGAATTGGTGATTTATGTCTCTACAAGTGGAACACATGGGCTTTGGTAAGAAATTTACCCAAGCCATACAAACTATATACCACAAGCAAATAACAAGAATAATGATAAATGGAGAATTGACAGACTCTCTTGAAATAAGGAAAGGAACAAGGTTGCCCACTATCCCCTTTGTTATTTGTCTTAACATTAGAAATTCTAAACAGAAATATTAGAGAAGAAAAAAGATATAAAAGGAATGAAAATCAAAAAGGAAGAATACAAATTACAAGCATTTGCAGATGATCTGGTCTTCATTCTAGAAACTGCACCTAAATTGATAGAAAAATAGAGGAATATGGAAAAGTAGCAGGTCTGAAAAAATAAATAAAGATAAAACGAAGATTTTGACCAAAAAAAATTAACATCAAGACAAAAGGAAGAATTGGTGGAAGCTTTGATGATCCAAGTCACGAACAAGGTCAAATATTTGGGAATATATTTGACAGCAAGATGCGGTACACTTAAAGAGAACAATTACTATAAGCTTAAGCAGCAGATTGCAAAAGACTTGACAAAATAGGAAAATCTACAACTATCAATGATAGGGAGAATATCTACAATCAAAATGAATATTTTGCCCAGAATTTTATATTTGTTTCAGACAATTCCAATCAGACTTCGGAAAGACTACCTTGACGACCTAAATAAAATAGTGCTGAAATATATTTGGCAGGGAAAGAAAGCAAGAATGAAACTAAAAATGTTACAAGATGCTAGAATAAGAGGGCTTGGTCTGCCTAACTGGGAATTATACTATCAGGCAACAAATTTAATGTGTATCAAAGAGTGGATAACATTAAGAAATTCTAGATTACTGACGGTAGAGGGACATGATTTGTTGCTGGGATGGCATGCTTTCTTATGGTACAAGAGAACCAAAACGCAGGGGTATTTCCGAAGACATATACGGGAGGCTCTGCTATTAAACTGGGAGAAGATTAAAAGGCAACATTACGTAAAAATTCTAGTCTGGTTATCAATTATTGAAGCATTTTCATACCCAGTAATATATAAAAAGGAACAAACAGTTAGATATGGTGAAATATTGAATGCAGAGGGTAACACCTGCGTCTGGCGGCATCCAGCAGCAATCTCGGCACCACTCCTTTGCCCACAAGGCTTCTCTTGCTGCATCTGGCTGGCCCAGCAGATTGGCGATGTGGGTGGCGCGTAAAAGCCGCGCTGCCACTTTTTTTCGGCGGAAAGAGTTCTGAGCTATTGAAGAGGAGTTCCTAGGCCGTATAAGACGCAGCATGCCTCTGAGCGCCGGAATGCAAGGGTCAGAGGACCCAGGCTTGCTGCCAGGGTAGCCCCCAGAGCCTTTATTATAAAGGCCGAGGCCTGCTCTACGTGGCGCGGTGGCCATTTTGAGACATCAGTTGGACAGCGGCCTAGTACAGGCCTCTTCACCAAGCACTACAGCCCCGGCAGATCAGGGCCGCACATCTACAACCCGGCCCACGTTCCTGACAGACAAGGCGCTCAAGAAGCATGAGTAAGCATGGCCTCTACTAATACCACCCAGGTGGCTCAGGCCCAGGGCTGCGGCCTCCAAGCCCACAGCTAAACAACGTCCTTCTAGGGCCACTGCAGTTCCTCAACAAAGGGGGAGGGATATGATATCTTCTATCTCCAATCTACAACACAGTCCTGTCAACAGTTCCAAGAAGACTCCACACCCATTTGCACCACTCAGGTGATCCTGGTGAAACAGATAGGTGATCTTAACGACTGGCAAATGACCAACTGTCTGCAAAGAGTATAAATCCTTCCATTCCCCACCTCCAGTCAGAGCTGAAAAAGCTTCTTGGATGAGAAACGAAACGTCTTCAAAGAAAAATCAGAAAATCCAGATGTCTCACGAAAAAGCACCTTTGAGATACTGCAAAATATTGATTTTGAAACAAAACTGAAATGTTTCCTGGCACAAAAGAAGAAAAGGAACACAATCTGATGTCTTTTATTTTTACTCCCATAACATTATATGAATGTCATACATCAACTTAACATAAAGGAGGACACATTTAAAAAAGAAACCTGTATCAGTGAATTGTCTCACTTTATATTGACTTTCTAAAATAATTCTCATACAAATGCAGATCTTGGGAATTCTTTCACTTATACATATAGCCCATGAGGACAATTTTTATGACGAATGAATCCAAATTTCATTCTCTCATGAGAATTTATATGCTCTCTGTACATATAAATATGAAGTAGGCATTCTGAGAAATATGATAAAACAGACTTGGTTCTGCTGGTTTATTTTTAAGTGGTTGTACAAACTATGTCATACCATATTACACATGAAAAGTTCAATGAACTTTTTTTTCCAAATGAGGATGTTCTCTGAATCCTTTTAAAACACTGAAAATCTATAATCAGCTCAAGTTTATATAAGAGACAACTCACCTGTGTATTTTCTACTCATTTCACATAATTCAGATTTGTTTAAAGGTATTGAACTATCTTCCATTGAAGCATTATTTTAAGTAATAAAAGATTAAATATTTGTTACTGATTATCTAATAACACCTTTCTGAAGAACTATATTCTACCTAAAATTTAAAGTCAAACTGTAGGCTAATTTTCTTTATACTGTGTATAAAAATTATAGAAAAGTTTTGAAGTGTTTTTAGTGTTTAATATAGGTTTCGTTTGTTAAATATTAAGAAATTTTCCATGCTGTCCTTGTAAAAATAATAAACTTTTGATAATAATGTAATGTCAGGTAGAACCTGAAACATATTTTCAGTATCTCAAAATATACCACTATTTAAGAACAAGAAACAATAGAGGCAAGGAAAAGACCATCTATCTTTCTTACTTTCATATGTGTGTTACTTTGATGTTTAAATCTGAAAGTATTACATTGTTTTGAAATCTTACTTATACCACACATACGTTGCTACTGAAAATCTGATTTAACAGAAAATGAAATTATTTTCATCGTTACAAAGGTATGCAATGAAGTTCCAATGGACTAATTGTGGACTTTTCTAAAATACATCAAAGCACCAGTGTATATTCCCTGAATGTTTCATTTACAGCATCTGAGCATCCTGTACTCCATTGCCTTTGGCAGTTGACTTTTAATCACTGCTCTAAAATTTAAATACCAATATTTTTTTTTCAGATCAATGCAAAGTGCTATTCTTTATAAAGTGTTGGTGGGTCCCCATCGCCATGTGTAAATAAAAACATTTTTTTCCCATGATTTTCTACATGATCTTCATTAATCTTCTCCAAAGTTTCAATCTGTAAAGAAGACATATGTAAAGATTAAGAACTGTGTAGCACTTCCCCAATTTGAAACTGTTTTTTTGAATTTGTGTTTTCGGTCTTTATTATCAAATTACAAATGAAGATTATACTTTATTCACATTACCACAATTCATACAATACACAAACATAAACTGAATTCTGCTGAATTAACTTCTTGTCTCAGTGACAATAGTTACTATGCTCATAAATTACCATCTTTCTTCTTGGCAAAACCAGGCAATATCTATTGGATGTGAAGAAAACAGGTTTGTAATTTTTTAATTTTACACTTCAGGAAACGCTTGCTTCAGCACTCTGATAATTCAGCTCTCACCTGAAGGATTAGGTACATTGTGTTGGCATTTAAAAAACAGCACATAATTAATTCATTTGTACCAGAAGAACGTTTTGCTTTCTCAAAAAGCAACTTTCTATCTTCTCCAATACATGGAAATTATTATTGAAGCAGAAATGGCTGTAAAGCGGTTTCTGATAGGGTGGAAAGGTTTTCGGTTCTAAATAAGTTAGTACTAAATTGAACATATAAAGTATATGTTTGGATCAGTGGTGGGTTCCGGCACCCATTGCAACCAGTATGCTGGAACAGGGCTGGGTGTCCACCACGTGCACGTGTGCAGCGTGCGCATGCTTACCCACCGCCTGCCACACTCCAGCTGCTCGGCGGAGCGTTGCACAGGTGCTGTACACCGCGTGCGCAAATGCCCCGGTCAGCTCAAATAGAGGTAAGGAGAGCAGTTGAGCGGGCAGGCCCTCTGGAGCACCGTACCGGAACAGTGCTCCCAGCAGCGATCGATACACCCATACTGGGTTGTACCGTTCGTATCTCACCACTGGTTTGGATTCAAGTTAATAGATTAAAAAGCTACTGACATCTGTTGATTTTCTAAAGGATTGTAACAGTGTTTTTCATCCCTATCGCATCAAATGTTTAAATTCCAAATACTATATTAAATTGCAATTGTTATAAGGAACCATTTCTTTAAAAAAAAGCCATAAGAATTATTGACATTGGCTTTGTCATCTTGTTTTCTTCAGAAGTGCTTGGTATTGCTGAGGCAGATAACAGCACAATACTTTGAGTCTGAAATTACTTTCCAGACTGTTACTGTTTCTCCTGAATTATTCCAAATCATAGTTTAGATTCTTTATCTTCTTAAACAAGCACAGAACTTCATAGCAAACTAGTGTAAATTCTTGTTCATAAAAAGTAATCCTTAATTAAAAACAAGCAAACAAAATACTCTTACCTGGGCTAAAAAATCCACCTCGTTTTCAGCTGCAATGTTTAATTCTGAAACAGCATTGAAGAGTTCTCGCTCATTTAGTACATCTGGCACACCACTTTTCTGAAAGAACTTTTAATAAAAATTAAAAAAAAATTAGGTACCCTGACATGTAAACTTTCTAGTGTGTAACTTTATGAATGTATGACTTTGCAATAATAGTTCTTAAGCTGAACATGCAAATTGCTTCTACTTCAACAATTTCACATTTAGATCCCCATTGGGAAAAAATACATGTATTTTAGAAAACATAATTATGGCAAGTAAGAAAGGGCTTGAAGCTAAAAAGAGAGTGGATATTTTGGTAGGACAATGTTCTGAAATATATCTCCAAGTACTAATCAATCAAGTATTAACAAGAAATAAAAGTTTTGGAATGGCCTTCATGGTCTTTGGACTTGAATACTATAGATCAGTGATGGAGAACCTTTTCAGAACCGAGTGCCCAAACTGGAACGTGTATGTGCATGTGCCAAAGCACCAGAAACACTAAGACCAGCTGTCCAGCATGCACATTCCTGGTTTTTGCCCACTTGGGCCACTTTTGGGGGCCATTTTCTGGGCTGTTTTCAGGTTGTTTTTTTGGGCCATTTTCGGCCTGAAAAACAGCCTGAAATGGCCTGGAAAACGGCCCAAAAAAGGCCTGGAAAACGGCCCATGAAGACCAACTGGTGCGCGCGCTGGAAACCAGAAGAACAGCTGGCGATGGCACATGTGCCCATAGAGGGCTCCGTGTGCCACCTCTAGCACCCATGCCATAGATTTGCCATCACAGCTATAAATAATCTATGCAGATACTTCAAATATGCAATGCATGGAAGAAAATCTAAGAATATTTTTAATTAGAAAACAATTGTGCCAAAAAGTGTGAGAAAAGTTCCAAAAGCAAGATTGCAAATATTTTTAACTGGTTACAAGAAATGTTTGGACACTTTTACTTCTGACTAGAATGAAAGGATGTCCAAAAGTTTACACTTGCCATATGCACTATTTTCTTAGCTGTAAACCGAACAACAAAATAAGTATAGATTTGAATTTTCAGAAAGATCTTGTGCTTAATTATATGTACACAAAAGTTGTGTCTGTTTGTACAGAGATGGATTCACTAAAATATGCAATTTGACCAGGGGTTCCGAAGCTTTTCCATATAAGTATTTTTGCTTGTTTCATACACTAACTATTCTAATGTCTACAGGTCCGTTTACTGAAGACTGAGATAGGCAGAAATCTTACTTGTGAAACATTCCTACAATCTCTGAACAGGAACTGAAGTGCATGAGGATGTCTTGGATCCACAGATTGACTGACATCAATTAACCAGACCTGCAAAAAAAATATATATCTTGAGTATGCCAAGAAAAATACAGATAGGGCTATTTCAAATTTATCATCTTCTATTTAAAATTAGCTTACCTGTCCTTTATGCCACAGCATGTTGTACTCACTCAGGTCAGCATGCACTAAATTACATTCCTTATATAACTGTTGCATCATCTAGAAGAAAACAACAAATAATATTTTTGGAATATAACACAAATAAAAATGTCCAGTAGTCTTATTATCTATATATATATGTCTGTCTGTCTGTCTGTCTATCTCATCTCTGTGTGTGTCTGTGTCTGTGTCTGTGTGTGTCTTCAATTCAATACAGCCAAGAAACATTACAGAATGTGGCTGTATTAACATCCATGGTTACAGTTCTACTTAATTATATTTACATTTATATTTATATACATACATACATACATACATACATACATACATACATACATATTTTATATTGTTTTAATTATTTAAATTTGTTTTTATCTTCCATGATGTATAACGCACAGTTACTTGTTGAGATGGGTGGCTATAGAAATCAAATACAGTATAATACATTATAATTCAGGATAGTGTAGTACAGCACAGTGCAACACAGTACATGTCATAAATGATATAACATACAGAAAGAGGAAGTCCTTGACTTACAACCATTCATTTTGTGACCAAAGTTACAATGGCACTGAAAAAAGTGACTTGACCATTTTTCACACTTATGACCGTTGCAGCACCCATGGTCATGTGATCAATTTTGAATGTCTGGCAAATGACATGTATGTATTATGGTTGCAGTGTCCTGGGGGTCATGAGAGCACCCTTTACAACCTTCTGACAAGGCAAATCAATGGGGAAGCCAAATTCACTTTACTATCATAACTTAATAATTGTTATTTAAGTTATAACAACAATTATAACTTAATAACTGCAGTGATGCACTTAACTGTGCCAAGAAAGATCCTAAAATGGGGCAAAGCTCAGTTAAAACTGTAGCCAATGGAAATTTTGGGCTTCATTGAGGTGCTAAGGCAAGGACTATTTGTTTTAAAGAGAAATGCGGGGTGTGAAAGAATTTTGAAGATAACTATTTTTCAAAAAGAAAATATAGCGAAATAATAATGCTCAGAATATTTATCCCAATTATATCATCTTGGAACAACCTATGTGGTTGCTAAGAGTTGACAGTGACTCAGTCAATCTCACCTGATTTGCAATTAATTAAACTCTCTATTTCCAACATATATTTAAAAGTACCCTACTCATTTTCTCCAAAAGCCAGTTCCTACTAGCTAGACCACCTTAATTCTAAACATTCTCATAATCAGTGCCTTCAAAGTTCAGTGGTTCCATGACCGTTATCAACATTCTCTGATCTGTGATTGGAAAAGCATTATATTGGGAAAGGCTACTTTATTTTTCATTCAATGCTGCTGAGCTTTATCATTTATTTTTAATTTCATAGATTGCCCTAGAACTATAGAGAGCATTTTAAGAAATGCTTTGGTAGAGGTAGTCCTTGTTTTAACCAACATTTATTCAGTGACCAAAGTTATGACAGTGCTAAACAAATGCTACTTAACAATGATACCACCAGTCCTTGAACTTATGACTATTGAAGCACTCCCAGGTTCATGTAATCGAAATTTCCATGCTTGACAGCCCACCGGTATTCATGACTGCAATGTGTGCTTCAACTCTCCCCCCACCTATCCCTCCACCATCACTTCTTTTGGCTGCCTTGCACTCTACCACCCCTGCTATTTTGCACCCCAATTTGCACCTCTAACACCTTCAATTAACTCTTCTTTCACCCATGCTAATGAAGTGCGCTCAGTCAAAGCAGCTGATGGCCCTTTACAACACCTCAGGCCCTCCACTCCACTGCCTTTCCTGCTCCACCCTGCTGACCTTTGCTTCTTGTCCCTTTGCTGACAAAGTATGTCCAGTTGAGGTAGCTGGAGACTCTTCCCAAGGCCTCTTAACATCTCCAGAAAGTACTGAGGCCTTAGGAAGGGGAAAATCTGATATGTAGCTGCTTGGAAAGATTTTCCAGATTGTCTCTGCAGGTTTGCGCAAAACCATTTTTGCCAACATTTCTAGAAGACCTGCTGTCTGTCTCTTCATGTACAACACACAACCTATGATATCTTTTTAAGTAGCTCTTCCAGTGGACAATGTTGCCCCAGTGTTGCAAAATTGAGTGCTTCCCATTTGAATGCTTTTCATTATCCTAGTTCATTTACTTCCTTTACCTCAAATTCTGCATCTTTGCCTATTATTCATCATCATTGTAACATATTTCAGTCAGAACTTTCTGTAATTGAGAAAGACTCTGTAACATGTGATATTCATTTATAAGCCAAAGAGACACCACTGATATAATAGATTCTGCCTCTCCCATCAAATGCCCCACAGTTAAGAAGATTCTCAGAAATGAATTTGCTTGTACACGCATGAGGTATGAAATGGAAGAAAAGGAGGAAAATATCTCTTTGCAAGCAGAAGCTTGCTTCCATAACCATGGATCTATTTTCATATAACAGTGATCTTACATGAAGAACTTGATAGTAGGCATTTTTCATATCTTCACTGCTGAGTTTTACTTCTTTTAGTTTAGGAGCTGGGACTTGATCTTGACCAATGAAAGACATGACTAAGACATGCTTTTTTAGGCTAACAACTTGTGGACAAGGAATGCCTGCCTTCTGCATTCTATCAAGAAGAAAAACAACATTAGTATGTTGATGAATGTCTAATTATGAAGTCCATTATCTTTAACATAATTCAGGGTTTCTCAAACTGAGAGCTCCAACTTCCCAAGAGGTCAAGGGCAATTTAAACAAGAGGAAATGGAATAGCCAATACAATTTGTGCAGGAACTGTCAAAATCTGTTCTGAGCAACCTGCAACTGGCTTGCTCACACAAAGTGGGGAGAAAAGAGTACATTTCAAGAGGACCCCCATTTCACACACACACACACACACACACACACACACACACACACACACACACACACACATCCATTTCTGTACCTTGTTAAGTTGTGCATTTCTTTTTCAGCCCACATGCGGATAATTTTTCGTGGATTCAGTTTGCTGAAACGTTCTCTAAATCTGTAATCATCCTTGATATACTTGTCACGATTCTTAAATTCATTAAGAGTAGTTTTAAATACTTTTATAGCACATTCTGAAGGAACTGATTTGATTTCTTCATCCAAACTTTAGAAAAAAACAAAGCACTGAGTTTAGACGTATGTCATACAAACTCATTCTTTAAAAGTTGCAAATCAAAAACAGATGACTAGAATATTTGTATTATTCAAATATGTCAATATTCTACTATCATGTATCTCTGAAATATGAGATTTCTGCCGCATTATTGTATGCTACTTTTACAGGTATTTTAAATTTAAAGTCTATGGAGATTCTCAATCATCCAGGTTATGATTGTCCCAAAGGTGCTTTTTCAAGAGGCAACTGGACTTTCTGGTTTTTCTTTGAAGGCGTTTCGTTTCTTGTATGAGAAGAAAAATGTCTTCAAAGAAAAACCAGAAAGTCCAGTTGCCTCTTGAAAAAGCACCTTTGGAACTTAAATGTAAAAATATAAATAATGGATTTATGTTAAAACTCCATTGCACAAAATACCTTTCTCAATCATTACACAAAGGACTGGGAGCAAGATAGTTCCACTGCACTTATTATTTGAAACACTGCACTGCTCTAAAATAATTTTCATTTTTAGTGATTATCAATACCACAATATACCTTCCTCCATATGCATGGAACACCACAGACTCTTTTCCTGTACTTATGCATCCAGTGATGGTATCAAGCAATCCAGAATTGACCATCTTGTACAGAAGCAGACGGGTTTTAGGATCTACAGCTTTTTCCTGCACAAGAAATGGAGTTCTTGTTATTGATCCAGGACAATTATTTTGCAAATAGATGTTTTCTTAAATTTGCTGACCAGTTCAAATAAGAAAAGGTTCTTTTAATTTACAGGTGTGCCAAAAATGAGAATTATTTTGATCAGCGTCTCAAGATCATAGAAAGAGTTGTGTTGTGATAGTGGGCAATTCCCTACTGACAGGAAACAAAGCTGTAATGTGCAGATTTGATATGACATCATGGAAAGTGAAATGTCTTTAAGATGTTTGTATCCAGGATTGATAGACAGTCTGATAACTATGTCTTTTAATGACAGATGTGGGAACAAGCAAAAATGCCAAAGAATATTTTGATTGGAATTCCAAAGACTATGGGAGAGTGCAACTAATGTTTTCTTCAATTTTTCCAGTTGGGCCATGGCATAAGAGAGAACAGGATCCTAGAAGTAAACCACTGGCCCTGTAGATGGTGTTATTCCTCAAACACAGACTGTGTTACCTAAATTAATGACTTTACCCATATGGATACATATGACAAAGACTCTCACTAGAAATGCATTAAACTAGTGAAAAAGCAAAAGAATGGCGAATACTGCATGTAATGCACTAAGGTCTGAGACCAAGAATTCTGGACATAAAGGAGGAAAGAGTAGCGAGATACATGTTCCCCTTCACTGGAGTTTTTCTAAGAGGGTGGATAGCATCTGTTCGAAATATTTTAGCAGCTCCCCTACCAAACAAGGGTTGGATTACATAACCTCTGAGGGACCACCAAATTTATGATTCTATAACAATGCCACTATTCTATTATTGAATTCTTAGGTCCTTCATGTGAACTTAATTATCTGTAAACCCTTTGCTTTACCAAACTATCCATTTGATAACTCTTTCATTTGATTAGAGTCATTAGGGAAATATAAAACTATTTCATTTGATTGAGTCACCAAGACACACCGCAGTAGAATGTTCCTTCTTCTCATGGAGCCTGGCACTCCGGCGTTCCTCAGAGTATGCATGCCGCTTTAAGGCATTGAAGACTTGATTGGATAATTTTAAATCCATGCCAATTCCATCACCAACTTGAAATTCTGGTGCAAACTGCAAACGAAGATGTAAATTAATAAGCAACTAGATTTCATCATTATTTTAAATAAAAATGGATCTACATGCTGATATATTCTGAGTTGAATAACAGAAATTACTGAGATTAAATATCTCTAGGTATGCTCCCTATTTACCCATTCAATTTTAAATTTAAAAATTAAATTAAATTTTGGAAAAAGACACTAGTGTAATGTTAACCTTACTGTCTAAGGGATGACCTTTCTGATTATGAACCCATAGACACACTAAGAAGGGGAGCAGTAGTAGCAGCTCTTTTTGAAGGTATTCTGGTTTATAGTCATCCATTGGTCACATGCAGAAAACTCATGCGTATACATGCTCTGCCTTCATTGCACTGCTCAAATACACTACTTCTTAAGTGCAATTGAGTCTTATTCTCTCCACAATTAGAAAAGATGTCAAAACTTAAATCTCTAATTTTTTTCAATCATTTTAATTATTTATTACCTTATATGTCTTTTAAATCATATTTTCAGTTTTTTTAATCTATACTTATTTTAGTATAGTGGTGGTAGTTAGTTGCTTCAAATATTCTTTGGGTGGAAAAGTAGGAAACAAATATAAATACAAATAATCAATCCAGACTGCATCAGTGTAAAAATCAACTTATTTTTATTCTTGTTGCTGAAACAGAACCAATTTTTGACTGTCTCTACCCATGCCAACATTTTATTAGAATATCTCAATTAATTAGGCAGGTTTCTAATTTTAAGAGCTAATATATAAATTTGGTTTCTTTTCATTTTTGTACATTATGAGAGCAGGAATTCATACTACTGATAGTTCTAAGTCACTGTAAAAACCTCTCTTAATAAGGGGCTAAGAAGGTGAATAGTCCCTTCACAATGGCTGCAGTAATAGAATAGTTATTTGTCTAGAACTTACATTCTCCATCCGCGCTGTGTTCTTTCGTCCACATATAACTTCATCATGCTTTGTGGTTATATCTTTTCCTTTTCCTATAAAGCCCTTTTTTGGAGTAGTTGTAGGTTTATCTATAAATAAGCAGAACATTATATTTAAATATACAGTATCTCAAAAGCAAGTAGTATGCTATCCTTTAGCCATAGTTTACACATTCTTCTGTGCTCTGAAATCCCAATGACACTATGCTTAGGCAGCTGTTCCCCTTGAGAAAGTGTGATTCAGCTTTATATTTAAATAAGAAAACTTTCAAGGAAGCTATTTTTGTTACTACACACTACAGAACACTTAACCAATTTTGCTAAGGAACACACAGCCCATTCACAAATCTTTAAAATCTGCTCTCTTCTCTGAGAAGCCTGATTGGTCCTATAGTCCTCACAAATTACATTTATCCCTGTTTTCCTTCCTTCCCCTCATTATAAATGTAGACCTGTGGATCAAGAGTTTGCCTTTTGCTTAGGTCATAATAATTTATACTTTATAATGTATGCTAATCAAATATTCTAGTATTAATAAAACATGAATACTTCACTGCTTACTTTTTTATTAAGTAATCACGCAGACAACACAATCATCACAAGACCTTATTTCCAAAATCTAAAAATCTTTGTTAATCATGAGATTCCTTGAAACATTTTGATTCCACAAAGTACCTGCTTTGTAGGGATCATGACGAGTATCCTGCCAATCAACCTCATCTTCTGAACTGTCACTGTCTTCAAAAGGATGCACTTTTCGGTAATTCTCAAAAGATATGGATACTTGAGAAGCAAAAACAAACGTATGTCATTTAAAACAAATTCTACCATCTTTGTTTTTTGAAGATTAAGACAAAGATGAATGAGAAATAAACTTTATTCTAACAAAGGAGTTATGACAAATTTGAGGTAACCTTTGCTATCACCGTTGAACTTTTTTTCTTCACGCCGAAGTTGGGCATCATATTCTCTATCAAATTCCATTTGCATCATTTGTGCCAGCATAAGGTCACTGGAAGTATCAACATTCTCTCCACTAACAAAGGGTCTATCAATAATCCTGGGTGTAATAAGACAAAATAAAACATTAAGAGCGACAAAGCAATACCAACTCAGATTTGTTATTTCTATGGATATCATTGAATAGGAGCCATTAATACAAAATAAAAGGGTAGAATAGCTTCTTTTGTAACCTTCGGTGAAGAATTTAAATTTCAAAAAGCATGAATATACTCAGGAATACTACTATACTCAATGAAATATTAATGACATTTGGACTACTACAAAGAATGGCAAGGTAGACTATCAGAGTAAAACTGCCCCCAAATACAGGAAGCAATTACATTTACAAGATCTTTTCCCACAATGAACTATTTTGAAATCTTTGTCTCTATCAGAAGATTAAATAAATGGGGAGGTGCAGGAATTTTGCAGGACTAGGTATCAGCAGTCCAGGTTATATTCATTCAATGGAAAAATTTAGGCCATTTCTAGGAGGTCTTTCATATGCAGAGTAAAAGAACTGAGTTTCCTGTGATATAAATTAAAAATTGTAATAGATTATGTCTTTCTTCCCACATGTTGTTGCCTACTTGAAATTGTTCTCTATTTAAAGAGAATGAAGTGATAGTGTTCACATTGTGTACGGGTTTTGTTAAGAGAGCAGAAAGAGCTTTTTCCTTCTAGAAAACTATTGTGTTAGATAAAACAACTCAGGTGGCCATTTTCCCTATGTGACTTGCTTTATATTTTATAAGCTCTGTCTTGTAAATCTGTTTTAAATCATTTATTTAGACATTTCAATGATTTAAAACAGGCTTACAAGACAGAGCGTATAAAATTGCAAGTCATATACATATAACTACAATACGGACATGGAAATCTATTCAACTTACGATACTACTTTTGGAAAAGAAGCACTTTCTTCTTCCAACTGCAGCTCTTTAGCTAGCTGTTCACTCATGACATCAGCAAGAGAACATGATATTGTAGTGTTTTCAGGAGTTCCCCATGGACACTGCAAAGACAAAACATTGGATTGATCAACAGAAGATGCAATGTCAGGTACAAGCAACCATGCCCATCACCAGGAATAGTCCCAAACAGACATTTTATTGTTGATTAACTATATTGTAAGAATCTCACCAGAATATCTGCCTTCCCTTGGGAAACCGTGACTATATACCTATAGTTTTGACAATAGACACTTCCTTCCCTGAAAAACTAGAACGTCTCTGGACTACCTTCCCTTTAGCCAGTGATTCCACAACACACATTTCTCTACAACTTTTCATATGTAACAAAGAAGCCCAGCAATTAAGAAAAATATTTATTTTGCCACTATTGCTTCTTCAGAATATAAATTACACTAGATTTCCCCCAAAAAATTTTTGATTCTTGAAAAACTTTTGGTGTTTATGATGGACCCCTTAAAACTGAAAACGTAATTTCAGAATGAATGAACATTGGGATTTTGCAAAATATGAAATTAACTTTTAATGACTATAATGTATTTAATTGCATGTTTCTGACATGCTGCACAAATGTGGGGAACTCAGGCTTTGTCTTGATTATCAATCTCACAACCAAAATATAGTTCATACACTTTCTTAAGAACTTCAGTTGTGGTGCGTCTTTCAGGCTTAAGCATGTACTGACCACAAATGTACCAGAACGTATCACGGCGACATTGTTGAGACATTTCTGCCATTGTCAATCATCCTCTCGCACATCTATAACTGGTTTACTTGTTACGTAAATTACATGTACATATCCATACAGCCTCAGCATGCCTAGACATGCCCAAATTGTACCAGATTCAGAAATGTTATGCAATATGCTGACTGCATGCCTGGACATGCTTGAGCTACACAAATCATCTTATAATGCAAGCAAAAAATAGTAAATTTGAAATATATCTAAGAAGAAATTGCAAAACCAGATGATTTCTATAAAACAGCATGTAATAAATTAAATTACAGGTTAGTTTCATGATTAAAAGCTAAAACTTTGTAAGTTATATCCAAAAGTGTTCAGAAAGCAAACTCTTTGTCGTCCAGAGTTATCAATTATTTATAAGCCAAATAGTTGGTTTCTTGGTGTCTATTAATTTTAAACTTTTTAAAACCTGAATGCACTGCTAAAGAAAAAGATTAGAAATCTAAATTTTCTTTGAAAAAATACATCTTAGCCCATTATCTCAAAGATTACATTTTTATTTAAAAGTAAGTTACTGAAATAGTGGGTTGAGATTCGAAATACCACAAAGGGTATGGTTCTTCTCTTTATATCCACTTTTCCTCCAATTTAAAACCACATCAATGTTTCTTTCTCCATTCCATTTTTTTGCGATATATTGACAGTAAAAGTGAAGTAAAGGCTTAAGGATGTTTATAATTCAAGCCCTTTAGATATTAATGTGACATTCTAGATACAATCTACTTCTTATTGCCCCTTCCCCGAATACTGGGATAAGAAAGCCCAAAATGAGCTCAGAATTAAAGGGGGGGGGGAAATCTTACAAGGCTAACTCAGATTTCCTGGTGCCCCTGGGAGTGTTAGGATTTGTCTTCCCTGAGATGTTAATGCTTTTATTATTACCAAGAGTAAAATAGAAAGAAGGCTGTGAAAATAATTAGACCCCTCACATCCTGGACATAAATTGTTTCAACTTCTACCCTCAAAACGACACTATAGGGCACTGCACACCAGAACAATTAGACACAAGGACAGTTCCCCCCCCCATGCCATTACTCTGCTAAACAAGGAATTTCCACAACACTGTCAAATTACCCGACTGTATTACTATTCTTCTTCTCTTCCTTCTTAGTACCAATCTCTTTCCACTTAAGACTATAACCATGTTGCTTGTATCTTTAAAATTTATAGTTTTGTTTCCAAGTATAATCTGATTGCTTTTTAGTAACCTATGACTATCACTAAGTGTTGTATCTTATGATTCTTGATGAATGTATTCTATTTTATTTTTTTCTTTATGAACACTGAGACCAAATGTACCAAAGACAAATTCCTTGTGTGTCCAATCACACTTGGCTAATAAAGAATTCTATTCTATATTCTATTCCATTTTCTATTCTATTCTATATTCTATTCTCTATTCTATCTTATCCTATTATTCTATTCTATTCTTTCTTTTCTATTATTCTATTCTATTTTATTATATTCTGTTCTATTTTCTATTCTGTTTTATTTTCTATTCTATTCTACCTTTGGGAGCCTTAAGGCGACAGAAAAGATGGTAACCTTTATACTAGGCTAAACTGCACCTGTTGAATATCCGGTTATTAATCAACTGCGAAGAGGCAGAGAGCTCGAACAGAGAAAGATGGCCTCTCTGCGGGTCCAATAAGGAAGAGAGAAACCCCGAAGCTAGCGGGGCCTAAAGAATCAGGTCCTCCATCTTCGGGAATCAAAGCCAACGTTCCTGGCTGGCTGAGGCTAGAGCCTTAAGTAACCCGGTGGAGAAACACAGCGGCCCCACACAGGCACAAAGGCTGCGGACGTCACCGTTTCGGCCCGGCCAACAGTTCGCGTCAAACGTTCACGCGTTTAAAACAGCCGTTGCTCTCTCTTCCGGGAGAGATCCCAATACATGGGATCCCTCAACCAAATCCAGATTCGGGAAAGTCCCGGATCACGCACCCGTCCTGCCCTTTCTCCCCGCGCACCTTGCTTTGAGGCCAGGCTGGACTGGGGCTCGCTTCAGCAGCAGCAGGGATGACAGCAGCGACGCCAACGGGGTCCATGTTGGGCGGAGAAGGAAGCAAGACGAAGGCACGCAAGAGAGAGAGAGAGAGAGAGAGAGAGAGAGGGAGAGAGAGAGAGAGAGAGAGAGGAGGGGAAAACAGCTGAACCGAGCGAAGAGCAAAAGCGACTCCTTAATGGAATGGATCTCTTTCCGACTTCAGGAACTTCCCGAAGCTTCTCCCGCCCCCTGATCGTCATCGGCGGCTGTTCATTGGCTCCAAAGCCGAATTCCAGCCCAGCGGCTGAGCTGTTTCCTCTTTTGGAAAGGTCGCTTTTTCTTTTCCCCGCCCTCTCGACGTCATTGATCCCGCCCTCTCTTGCTCCTCCCAGTTGCGTTTCATCGTGACAAGAGGCTTTGACGTTTCTGGAAACAGTTTTAAAACGGGTCTCCCACCTTGGTAACTTTACGACTTATGGACTTCAACTCCCAGAATTCCTCAGCCAGCATGCGCTTGTGGACTTCAGCATGCGCTGGCTGAGGAATTCTGGGAGTTGAAGTCGTAAAGTTGCCAAGGTTGGAGACCCCTGAACTAGACCATCTGTAATTCTAAACAGATTCTCATAATCAGTGCCTTCAAAGTTCAACCTTCTCTGATCTGTGATTGGAAAAGTATTATATTGGGAAAGACTGCTTTATTTTCCATTCAATGCTACTGAGCTTTATCTTATTTTTAATTTCATAGATTGCTTTGCTAGCTGAGGAATTCTGGGAGTTGAAGTCCACAAGTCTTAAAGTTGCCAAGGTTGGAGACCCCTGGTCTAAAATAAAAACAAAACAGCCTCCTTCTTTGGCTTGAGTCCTCTCCAAGCTTGAATAGATGCAAGATCAGGGAACAATTGAATAAGCAAAAGGTTGCAAAAAAAAATGGCTTCGAAACAAAAGCAGGTTTTTTGAGTAACATTCATCATCACCCAAAAGCTCCTAGAGCACAAAAGACTCCACAAAAGTAGTTTTGTTAATACAACTGTGTTATGCTTACTCTCTCAACCAGGAACCATGAAATGAATGTTTGTATCAATCAGTATCTATGGAGATTCTGAGTCATCCAGGTCATGGGTGTCCCAAAGTTGCTTTTTCAAGAGGCAACTGGACTTTCTGGTTTTTCTTTGAAGATATTTCACTTCTCATTGAAGAAGCCAAAACGTCTTCAAAGAAAAAACAGAAAGTCCATTTGCCCCTTGAAAAAGCACCTTTGGCTATCAATCAGTAGATTGAGTGGCAGGCTGAACAACCGTTAGTGCTTCCTTTTCCTCCCCTGTTTTGGTTAGCCTCCTTTCCACTTGAAAGATGCAGTACAGTGTTTAACTCCTTTTTACTTTCCTTACACACATGCAGAGAAGCTCTCTTACGGTATCAAAACATGAATGAAGCAACGACGCCATAGTTTTAGTGTATGATTGTCCTGATCAGTATTACTATTCTTACTATTCTTCACACTGTTTAATTTCAGGGCCCAGAAGACATTGCAGTTCACTTTTCCCTGCATCGTAAATGTAACAAGTCAAGTTAAAAGGTATAAATAAAAAGATGTGTTGGTCACATGAGTTTTATTATCAAAATAATATAAAGGAGCAGAGGAGCAGTGGTATCCAGATGCAGCAAAAGCAGTGAAGAAACCTTAAAATTAAATTCATTATATAATCAGCATACTGTACATGATGAAATAAATTTTAATAGGCCAAAATATTGGCTATAATAAAGCTGTAGCTCTGGGGAAACCACATGTCTCTTTGTAATTGATATCAAATAGAAATGAATGATGTCTTAAAAGTTCCTCAAAGATGGGTTGGTTTTGTGTGAGAGAAAGGAAAAATCACAGGCGTTTGGGGTTGATGTCTTAAAAAAATGTAGGACCTTAGATTTTTTCTTGTCTTTTCCATTGTTTTTTTCTAATTCTATTACATTCCATTTTGAAAATGTTGGGAAAAATTATGCTGACAAGTTTCTAAGATAGCATGCCTTTTGACCAACATCAGTTATATTCTGCCAATCCATTTCTTTGATCCAAATCCATTGTGTCCTTTCTGAAAACAGCTAGAGTACAGATACTTCCTTTGCTCTGGAGAAGCAGTTCTGAGGGTTTCAAGACCCCATCTCTTTGTCCAGTATGCTATCAGGGAGTCTGCAAAGTCAAATAAATAAATAGATAAATAGATAAATAGATAAATAGATAAATAGATAAATAGATAAATAGATAAATAAATAGATAGATAGATAGATAGATAGATAGATAAATAGATAAATAGATAAATAGATAAATTAAAAATACTGTTTACATTTCTAATGCAGTATGTATCAATAGTTATAACTCACAAACTTTATGTGTCCTCAATCATTTTTATTTGATTTATGTATTTATAACCCACCTTTATTGTTAGTATAAATAACTCAAGGCAGCTAACATATCTAATTCTCCTCCTTTTTCCTATTGTCCCCACAACAACTACCCTGTGAGGTAGGCTGAGCTGAGAGAGAGAGAGAGTAGCCTAAGGCCACTCAGCTGGCTTTCAGGGGTCCTGAGACCAAAATACTGCTCTAGAGCAGTATTTCTCAACTTTGGCAACTATGAGATACGGGACTTCAACTCCCAGAATTCCTCAGCCGGCGTGCTCTAGTTTAGGAGGTTGAGAAATGCTGTTTAGAGAGAGCGCTACCCCTTTAAGAAGGCTGTTTCTCGGCTTCTTTTCTTTGCGTCCATTGGAGCAAAGGCAGCAGCGACGTGTCCCTGTTATGGCAGCCACATGCAGCCGGACGGAGATGCTTTTTTAAAGCCTGGTGGCATGCTTTGACTGATGCCTTTCAAGAGACCTGCCACTGGTCTTGCTTTCTGTTTCTTCTACTTGAGTTCTTATTTCACCAACAAGGTGAGGATGAAGGCGCTACCAACGACAATATTGCAAACTGATCATTATGTATTCCTTTTCCTCTGGTTGGGTTTGGGGTGATCCGCTTAGGTATTCCAACATTTCAGAGGAGTTCAGGACTTGCCCGATGTATATGTCTCCATGATTAAAACCTGCTTGGTGAAGTCTGACTCGGTAGCGCTTTGTATTTGAACATCGCGGGTCCTTCATTCAGCCCACCCGGCATCCTGCCTGACAATGAGAATTGGGAGAGTGAACAAAGGGATATCTACCGTCTGAGTGGGACAGTCTGTGAAGGAAGATTTCAGCTGATTAATTCACAAAAATGCACTATTTGCATGATAAGTTGTCCAAGCTTCAATGGGACTTAATATCTCAGTGACAGCAGTCTATGCCCAGCCTAACAGTAAAACTCTCTAGCTGAGTTTGACATGCTGAACTACAAACCAGCCAACCACATTTCAACCTAGCATATTGAGAGTTTCATATAATTGATTTATAGTTCGGTGTTCAATGTGAACTTGGAAAGGGAAGTTAATGGGGTAAATAGGGTCAGTTAATATAGGTATAATGAAAAGCCTTTTATCTCAACTTTTAGGAAAAAACTAGAAAAAATTCAGTATAAGAAAATGGGCAACAGATTTATCTTATACAAGTCATATCAAGTTCAAGCATCCAACTCTACTTATGCAACATATTTTCAAGTAAGGAGGAAACTATCAGATTTTTTTGCTTATCTCTTAAATACACACACACACACACACACACACACAAGCTATCAAATGAATACTGATCTCATAATCATTGAGTTGAGTCCAGTGCCCAGTTCAGTTCTGGAATTCAAATTAAGAATCCTTAACAAATGGCCATCTAGTCTCTGAACATCTTCAGAGAAGGGAAGCAAGCCAGCCAAAATTTGTGGATAATTGGTTCAATTATTTACCATTACTTGGTTCTTGTGAAGAGCCCACCCCACCCCATCATTCAATCACAGCACTCTTTCTTATAATTTAACGTTGTTCTCTCCTGGGAGATAATTTTGATATAATCAATCTATAATATAGTAATGAAGGGAGCATGCATACAATTGATGATTCTTCCCTCAGAATGTGGCTTTGTTTATATATTCTAAAACAATATGGTCAGTTAATGGGCCACTTATTCACTATTTTTCTTTATACTGAATCAGCATTTCATGACCTTCACCTTAAAGTTATGCTCTTATGGTATCTTAACTGCTGATAACTCATTTTCTCATTTTATAAAAGTAGATCTACATATTTTATGATAGAGCAATGTGTTCATTTAGTACTATATATACTGGGTTAGCCAATTATTGGCTTCTAATTTGTGTTGGACAATTATTGGCTTCTAATTTTGAGCGTGAAGCCACATCTTCCATAAGTGTGGCTTGTCCACGGTCACTTTATGATAATGTAATGAATGCTCTCAGTATTACATTTTCAAATATACAGTTTTCAAAAAAAGTGAGGATACACCCAGGAAATGAAGTATGTCTTTATAATATCATGCACACACATTTATTCATTAGATTTCAATATTGGCTTTATTTTGTACAAGTCTAGGTGGCATACATAAATTGTCCCACTTCCTATTTTCCCCAAAGCAACAATCTAGTGAAGTGAGTTGGAAAAAGTAATTAGCTTAAAATCACCCAACTGATTTTTGTGCCTAAGGATGGATCAGAATTCATGATCTTCTAATTTCTAATCAACTATACAGTACAAAACTGACGTAAACATTTTTTAATCTAATAAAAATGATAAGGCTTTTCACGCCAGTGAGGTCTATGAAAAAAATCCAGAAAAGAAAGAAAAGAGGAGTGAGCCATCATGGTCTCACTTCTGGAATAGGCTGAAAATGGTAGTTAAATATGGGCTTTGGTCTGCTGAAATCTCTCCAGAGTAAGGAGAAATTGCAAGATTATCCATAGGTACTCCAGGCAGCTGGGGGGGGGGGACATTATAAGCAGATGGCAGGAATTGCTTTTTTGCTGTTGGCTTGCAATTAGCTGGGAGTTGCAGGATTTCATTGTGCTTATAGCCATTATAGCCATTATAGTAATGTCGCCTGTATGAACTTTAAGGTTGATCGAGGCTCACCTCTTAATCATTGTGGATTTAATTTTGTTTTGGTTTTTTGGTTTTTTTCAAGATTTTCTTTTTAAGATTGAGAACATTCAGACTGGCAAATTTTATTTAAATCATTTGGTGAGTTTTTTCAATCCTTTAAAAGCAAAAGGGTTAACTAAAAATATAAACATATGTAACAAAAAGTGTTTTTGGAATGTACAGCAAAAGGATGATTAATGTTGGCTTTAGAAAGTTTTAAATAGATTAAGGGCTTAGATGGGCTTGATTTTAAACTTTGAAATTAATTGAGAGAATTGTGTTTATACTTAAAAATAATTGATATGATGACTTTGCTTTGTGATTTTGTGACACAAAATTGGTTTAATGGGTTTATTTTTAATTATGAATGGATGTTTACTAGGATTGGATGGTGATGTCTGGATGAAGAGAGGGAATGGGAGTATATGTTTAAATACGGTAGAAATGGAGATAAATATAAAAGGAAGGATTCAAATCAGATGTTAAAAATACAGTATGTAATAGTTATGTTATTTCTGATAAGCCTTAATGGAGTCTTGCTGAATAATGTGGAGATATTTAAATTTTAGAGATGGATTTATAAAAATTGGGGTGATGTATGGGATGAAGAGGTGTTGGTTTTACTTTAAGAGATACTGATAAGTTGTTAATGTCAACTATGTTTGCTGGAGATGAAGGAATTGCTTTTCTCATTTTTCTTTTTTACTCTGCCTTTTTTCTTTTTCTGCTCTTTTTAATGTTTTACTTTTTAATATATTTATGAACAATGTAGGTTGTACTATTAGTTTTATCTGCATAATATAATTTTCAATAAAGTTATTGGGGGAAAGACAACATCTTAAGTACTTGTAAAAGTGGTAAGGAGCAAATACAATCTTCTGGAGGTTGTGACTGTCCATACTCATAGTGGCAGATCTTTTGTGTGAGTGGCCTGGTCCACATTCCCACAATGCCTATTGGGTCATAAAAGTACACTATGATTTCTATAAAATGTATTTTCATGCATGTTTGTAGATAATATATAAAGCTGTGTTTTCTGATTTTTCCAGTATGTCTTATCTGTCCTGAAATTCACCTATCCAACGCTTTTTCAAGGGTAAGAATAATTTCATATATACATGGAAATAAAATAAGCAATCAATGGGGATTGAACCAGAGAGAAGCTAATCTTTGTTCTGCATGTATTTTTCCTGACCTGGAGAGCTCTTACAGTATTACAGTTACCTAGTACCTTTCTGGACTACATTTCCAATTAGTAAGCCTGATTTCTGACCTTCCAGGTTATATTATATTGTATCATTACAATATATCCTAATATCCTAATAACAGTAAGTTATCGGAATAATTTATGAATGCTTTGTTTTCACTTCTTTTGATCATCAATAAGCAAGACTATCCTGATCTGTAGATGTGATGTGCAAACATGGTTTGCATACCATACTAAGGTACGGTTTCATATCTGGGCTGAAAAATTGAACAACACTAGATTGCAGTAGAGATACATAAAACTCTTAACTTTGTTACTACTGACTAGCAGTAGCAGCCTAGATATGGTAGCTCTTATGCTCAACCATAGTTCATAAAAAAGCCACTGTTTGTTAGATTTATTACAATTCAGTAAGCTTATGGTGTCTTTCATAACACATTACCTCAAACTGAACAAGCCCAATTTGTATACATGTGAATAGGGAAGAAGAAGAAAAACAAGCCATTAATTCTTAATGTTACAGAGCTTTTGGTATATACCGTATTTTTCGGAGTATAAGACTGAAAATCGGGGTGCATCTTATACACTGAATAAAGCATTTTTGGCCTCATGAAACCCTGCCCCCTTTGCACAAATAGCCGTGCATAGCCTTTAGGAGGTTTCCAGAGTGCTCCTGGGGGCTGAGGAGGGCAGAAATGAGTAAAAAACAGGTCATCCCCCCCCCAGCCCCCAGGAGCACTCTATAGGCCTCTTAAAGGCTATGCATGCCCTTTTTTGATAAGAAATGGGCCCATTTTCATGAAAAAATCGGTCGTTTTGGGGAGGTCTGCAGAGTGCAAAAACTTTAAAAAAAAATTTGCCTCTTCAAAATCTTGGTGTGATTTATACTCTGAAAAATACAGTAGTTAAGATGCGAACAGCTTGACTATAGGGGGGAATCAAATAGATCCAGTACCTTAACAAAACTAATAAAATAAGACTTTTTCTCATCTGTCTCTTTACAAAAATGAGATGAAAATCACTTGAAATGTATTTGTCATTGTGTATCTAAGGTCTCTTAGTTCAGACAGTTTATTTCTGTTAGTACTTACCCAGTGTATCAACTTCATGATTTAACTTAATCTACATACTCCCAGAAGAAAGGGCTCAGTCTTTCATCACATGTGGTAGACATATAAAAATGTCTTCGGTATCATTTACAAACATATGTTCTTTGATAAGGAGTGGTCATTGAAGTGTTCATTCCCGTTGTTGAACATGTGCTTGTCCACACTCTACCACTAATAGTACAGGCCTAGGAAAGAGTCCTATTGACATCCTATTGATGTCCTAAGGGGACTCCTACATTACTGAATTAGATAAGTAACTTTGTTCCTAAGCTCCTTAATAATTTGGGGGGGGAAAACATAATAGTAATAAAAAAACAGCAGGAATCCACAGGAATTGCAATATCAGCACACTCTGAGATTAAAAAAGTTTCTAGCCTCTGCTGCTAGAAACTGAAATTTGGCATCCTATACATTGTACAGAATCCAGAAGTCTCTGTTACAAATTATAAATCACAGAATTTTTTTAACTTATATTTTTTACATATGTTGTACAGGTGGCAGACACTTGTTGGTGGAATTCTCTTACATGCTTCCTGGAAAATCGGCTGGGTTGAGATCAGCACCAGTTCAAGGTATAGGTGAAAGTGCAGCATAAATAAATAAACCAATGTTAATAGATAGTCTCTGAAGTACAATATTTAGATTAATACCCATTGAGAGACATTTTATTTTACCATATATTTTGATTGTATTCGCATTCCACCTCCCTTAATATTACAAGAATTCTGAAGTGAAAATTTTTTAAAAGGCATTTTTTAAAACTTGCTTTTATTATTGGGATGTTTTATGTGCAATAAAACAAAAACAAAAGAGGTTTGATCATGTCGTCCTTGCCATCTTGACTATTTTAACACAGTTATCTGTGACTTTTCTCGTACATTCATGAAATTCATGGTTCCTATTTTGGTCAAGCATGTTGCATGATATGTGCACCATGAGTGTTTTTCTACCACTAAAATTGCCATTAACATTGAGTAGATTTCTCAAGTCCATAAAAATCTGTTTTTGAATGTCAGATGCTATCTAGGCCTAAAAACACTAGCAAACATAACAACCCTGTTTCTAGAATATCAGCAACATTCCAGGCCCTTCAGTGAAAAGCTTTTTACAATATTTATTAATTTGGATTATTATTTGACAAAGGCCAGGTTCCCTAAGGAAGGAAAATCAAGCTTAACATTAAAGAAATAAATTTATGCTAGCTACCTTAGAAATATAGGAGCCGAGGTGGCGCAGTGGTTAAATGCAGCACTGCAGGCTACTTCAGCTGACTGCAGTTCAGCAGTTCGGCTGTTCAAATCCCACTAGGCTCAAGGTTGACTCAGCCTTCCATCCTTCCGAGGTGGGTAAAATGAGGACCCAGATTGTTGTTGGGGGCAATATATGCTGACTCTGTAAACCGCTTAGAGAGGGCTGAAAGCCCTATGAAGCGGTATATAAGTCTACTGCTATTGCTATAAGTCTAAGTCTAACTATTGCTTTCAGCCAATTATCCAGATTTTTAAACATTCTATAAGTAGTAAGAGATTCATATTGATTCCTGTCAGCATTATCAATTTCGTTGTATTTAAGTACAATGACAATAAAGATTATACTTATTTATCATTTTAGTTGTACCTGAGAGTAGATACGGGTGGGAGTAGGTGGTTATTCATATGCAAATAAAACCCAAACTGTAGTATAATTTTATGCAGTAGATGTTCAACTTCTATTCCCTTACTCTAATGCAATCTTTTTTTCAAAAAAATTGATTGGATACTTCCTGACCTTTATTAACAATCTCATTTTAGAGCTTTAAGAGATTCCTAGACAACGTTTTCTTCCACTTACATTTTTTTCATGCTTTTTCACTCGCTTTTTGTCATATTTTATTCCATGTAAAATACTGCAATTTGGAATAGTGCACAATGCCTTTTGACTGGTAATATTCCCTTAAGTTTCAAAACATGACAGTCATTTTGTTCATCATTTTCTTCACTCTATTTTTTTACATTTAGAGCTATGAGTTTTATTCCACTAGGTGTCAGTGTAATTTAAGCCAAAGAATACCACTGTTATGCCATAGTTTAGCAATAAAAGCATCTATGTTCAATATCTCTTAAAGGAAGAGGAACTTGGTGTATTATAAAAGTCAACATCATCACTTTTGATTAAACCTAAAGACAAACAAGCAAGCAGACAATGCATAAGAGGAGTTTTTCATTAGATTATCAAAAGGGCTTTGAAATACTTTGCAGGCTGTTACTTCTAGTATTATGCAAAGCTGCGGTACTTGACAAAATTCACTTCCTATCTCTGTGTTAAAGCAATCCTGTCAACCAAAAAAAAAGGTTATAGGCTTTCAATAGTTGTGGAAGAAAGCATTGAAACAGTTGTATGACTCTTCCACAAGAGACACCTGCTTTAATTAACATACTTTGTGATGCAATTTCTATGGCTCCTCTGCAGAGGTTTACTAAATTCTAAAGAGACTTCAAAGGCAGCTCCATGTACTGTAGAGTGTATAACAGTAAACCAATTACCATATTTTTTGAAGTATAAGATGCACCCGAGTATAAGATGCACCAAGATTATGAAGAGGTAAATATAAAAATGTACCTCTTCTTAAATTTTGTGAAAAACGGGGCATGCAGAGAGTTTGAGAGGCCTGCAAAGTGCTCCTAGGGGCTGGGGAGAGCAAAAACATGACACAAAGGGGTTTGGAAGGTGAAAAACAGACCCTTTTTTTTGCAAAAAGCGGGACATGCAGAGGGTGTGGGAGGCCTGTAGTGTGCTCCTGGGGGGGCTGGAGAGGGCAAAAACAAGCAAAAAATGGCCCAGTTTTTGCAAAAAACAGGGTGTGCAGAGAGTTTAGGGGGCCTGCACTGCTCTTGGGGCTAGGGAAGGCAAAAACACAATTTTTGTGAAAAACCAGCATCTTTTCACTTGTTTTTGCCCTTCCCAGACCCCAGGAGCATTCTGCAAGCCTCCCAAACCCTCTGCACGTCCATTTGTGTGAAAATGGATGCACGGGGAGGGGTTTTGGGAGACTATTCAGTGTATAAGATGCACCCAGATTTTCACCCTCTTTTTGGGGGGGAGGGAAAGGTGCTTCTTATACTCTGAAAAATATGGTAAATGGTTACATAGATGATTTAGACTACTTAGATTTTTATATGTAAGTAGAATTCTCCATCAGCACATTAGCTAAATATGCTAAAAGATACAGTTCCTTTCTGAGAATTGAGCTGATTTGTATGTATTAATGAAACACCTCAATGATAAGAAACTTTTCTTTTTGAGGTAATGTGTCATTAACATAGGCAAGACCACTCTCTCCTCATCTTTGAATGGGCCATTATCAACTTTTCATACCTGATTTTTTCTTTGACTGTTCCTTCATTCTACAACCTTGATCCAATTTATAGCTTGCTGAATTTTGCTTTAGAGTTTATCACTTAGTGTAATTGAGCAAGTGGACTAATTATTTGGGATACAGGTTTGTAACTGTAACACAGAGGTGCTTTGAAGAGTAAATATATTTGAATCATTCTTGAGCTTAGAAACTCTTCTACAAGGCATGTAATGCAGCCTTGTAAATTCAGATAATAGGAGTAAATTTTATGTAAACAATGGTTAATTTATTCAAAAATGTTAATATCAATGTGAAAGTCAATTGCTGTATAAGACTGCAATTATACTTCCTCAAAGCATTCTGTCTTCTTCTATATTTCTGTGTGACACTTAACACACAGTACAGCCTTCATAGTTTTGTCCCACAATTCCTCTGATTATCAACTGGATAATCCAATTGAAGAAGAATAAACAAAAATGTAAAACAATGATTGAAACAGTTCTTAAATAATGAGTTTTTTCTTCTCTTCAACCATTTTTGTCATTTGCTTTCCTCAAAACATACAATGAGGAATTGTTGAATGAACCACTTTGGATTTCTTTTAGTTTCTTATTTCTATTCATGTTATATTTGATTCACTGGAATTGCAATTATTTTATTTGGATGGTTGTTTCTTTAAATGAATGCATAAAAAAACCTAATATGGCATATTTGTATTCCTTTTCATACATTTTCTATATTCTTTCATAATCTAGAGTTTTATAATTGTTTCTGAGCTGCAATGTGAAATTGGGATAATTGTGAATTTTAAATTATTTTTCAGTTTAATTATCTTTTATATTACTAATTTTCTCTGTATTAATTGCAATAACATTGAAAATGATCATTTTATAATATTTCATAATTTATTTTCTGTGCAGCATGAATTGAAATATCCAAGAATTGAAAGTTTGCTTTCAATTAGGTGTCAGGTTCCGAAGGGATAATGAAACCAGCCAAACACAGAAATAGTTTGAAATGCAGTTTCTATTCTTCCTCCCGCACGGACTGACCAACAAAGCACTAAGGCAATGAATAAATTGTCAGAGCTGCCACCCTGTGCTTCCCATCACCTTTTATAGCTATATTGGTAATTAAGATAAGCTGCACTCACACACCCATCACCTTGTGACCCAGAGCGAAACCACCCAGCAATTAATCATGGATTGTTAGCATGATTTTCTTCAGTTTGTGTAGGTGGGACAGTGAGTCTTGGCAGCTGGCCCAGTCCTCTCCCCACTGAATGGCAGCTCCAGGCCTCTGAGCTGGCCGGAGCTGACATTAGGTATATTAGGTATATATATTCTTTGAAATGTTTCTTTTCCATTCTGTTCCTTTGAATGAACCTCAAATAGTTTCTAAATGAACTTGACTTTTAAGCTCATTAACAAAGGAAGTCTGGAATTACTTTGTGTTTGGATACTGGTTTTTTTATTGATGCTTCTGACTTTTTCATTGAATAGCTTTTGGCAAGCTTCATTGTGAAAAAATAATGAAACTGCAGTTTTGATCTGTCACCTTCAAGTCATTGATATAGTGATGCTTTCTGTTTGTGCAGTATTACATATTTCTTCCTTACATGTTGAAAATATACAGCCCATAGCTTCTATGGTACATAGTCATTATAGCAGACTCTGATTTTCACCATTGTATGGTTTGGCCCATAAGAAGGATTGCTGCTAAAGCATTTCCTGTAGTTGTAGACATTCTTTCCAACCCTCTTGGCAGTACAGAATTCAGTTGTTACATCATGGGAACAACTTTTGTGCCCTTTTCCATTGCTTCTTATATGGCCAAAGATTCTTAAAACTTCACACTGTGGTCAGTGATCTCTATGGAGGTCTTGTTCTCAAGCTTGATGCTTTATTTTTCTCCCAGCTCAGATGACTCTGATTATTTACGGAGGCATCTGATTGGATTTTACCAACAGTGTAATTACTGTTGCTTGATTAGTCCTAAGGAAATTTATCTGGACCAATGTCCTTAAAAGGAATGATAATATTCAAACTTATGGTTAACCTTATCTGGTTATAGGGTAGTAAGGGATTCCAGCATATGTTAATTAACAATTTGAACTATAAATCAGGTAGCAATCATTTAAATGAGCTAAATTGGATTTATGTCTAACCCTTGGATTTAAATTATAAAACCCTTGGATTTAAATCAGTATGGTCAACAATTAAATATAAAGCAAATGTTTTTATTTTATTGAAACAGTTTGCCCTTTGTCTGACTATAATATAAAGTGTTTTTATAAATGCACTGCTTACATAGTGTTCTTGAAAATACATTTTAAGGCACTTTTCAAAATATGATATAAACATTAATAAGGCCATTTGAATATACTCACACTTTATGCATACACACACATATATACTTATAATAATAAGATAGTTATCAGAAAATGCAGACACAGATCTATGTGTTACAAAACTATTCAGACACCATACTTCCTTGGATTTATTTTAACTTTACTTATTTTATTCTCATCTAATCAAAGTGATGCTTGTATTTTTCTTTGGCTGAAATTATTTTTATTCAGGAAGAAAAGGATATCCTCTGAGGTTCGTAAATAGAATCTGATGATATGAACATAAATGAAGGATGATTATTATTATTATTTGTTACAGGTCTGAAGTATTATCATGGCTTCCAGCTTCTGCACTTTTTGTGGGTATTATTTATTCAGGTTCCAGGGCATTATCTAGATTGGTAAGATATTCAATAGTATTTGGCATGCCTTTTTATTAATGTTTTACTACAAATGTCGCATAGGGTTGAAGTAATTAAGATTACCATAGTTAAAGACACATGTAGCACATTGAAAATTGAATAGATAGTTCTAGAAGTCATAATAGGATTTATTGAACAAACAGTACACAGTCAGTAGATTCCTTTTCTAACTTCCAATTCTGCAGAAAATCTGTGCAATTTGACTGAGCTTTTGAATATGCGTGGCATGGATTAATATACATATTATTCATAAAGTGGTGCCCAATACACATAATAACTGTGAAAATAATTCCATCAGTGAATTGGTCAAATTCATCTTTATTACCTTGCTGTCCTTTAAATCAATGGATGGTCTTAAGTGAAATCATACATCTGTGTTACAAACCACTCATACAAGAATTGTGAATTAAGTTATGAAAGCATGAAGGTCAACATTTGGGCTCAAATTCCTGTCCTCGTCTTAAATCCTTTAACCCTTCATCATGAAGGGGGGGGGGGAGATAAATGAAAGGATTCCGACAAAGATGTTTTCGGCAGTTGAAAGATCACAGATATTATTCAGAATGCTGCTGTCAGAACAGAGCCTAAAGGCATATGTTGGCCTGCTTGTTTCTTTGTCTGAGGTTTGTAATGAGATGGAGTCTCATCAGATGAATTGATCAGATGCATTGATCAGATGATGGATTTGGAGAGATAGGAACTGAAACTAATTGGTCCAACGTAATTTCCTTTCCGAAAGACTAAAAGGACTAAAATGACAATCAAAGACAATAAACATCTGGTGAAAGTTAACTGAACTAGGCAATCTGGAACCATAGTTGGCAAAAAAACATTTCTCTTGGCCCTATGAAGAGTCAACAGCAAAAGAGAGATGAAAGGTGTGTGTGCATAAATGTGTAAATTTGGCTGCAGAAAAGAAAAAAATGTAAATTCTGATGTCAGATTTTCTAGGATAACATTATTCTAGTGTTTCCTTTCATTGTGCTCTAGTTCAAAAAACTCATGCTTAGCCATGGATCTTCCTTCTCTCTCAGCAACAAATATGGCAACAAGCCCAGCAGTGGAGCTGTGAGCTGCGTTTGTTTCCGGGTTTTTTATTTTTCTTTTCCTGATTCTTCCAGGCTTGTTATCTGTGTGTCTTGTTCATTTGTTTTCTTTAATACTGGTTCTCACAAGTTCCCAGGTAATTAAACAAAACCTTTGCAGTTGTGATCTCTTAGATTTACTCACTCCTGTCCTGAGCATACTATGTATCTTCAGTTAACTTAGAATAGTAGAAGAACAAATGCATTTTCCATTGAAAACATTTGCTAGACTCAAAATATTGAAAAACACTTCAAAGAGACCTCATATCTAAAAAGATTTTCTTATGTTAATTTGTCTAGACATTCAGTATTTCAAACTTCACATGTTTCCATTCCATTTTTGGAATAAGAAAATGAGTTGAGTTAGCAGGGAAAATCTGCGGTACTATACTGTATACAATTCCCTCCCTCCTTTTTGGTGGCTCAGGCTATCAATGCCTCTTCTGATGTAGTCACAATACCATCTCTTTCAAAGATGGAGGCAGGCCTATAATCACTGCAACTTTTCCTCACATCAGGGATACCATGTGATAGCTCTGAGCATCGGCAGTGTAAAGAAGGTCTTGATTTCCTCACTTTTAACTTAGATATCTTCAAGTATGTAGCAAACTTTTTCAAAGAAAACTGAAGGAAGACTTTTGAAAACCTATCAAATGTCTCCCTTTAGTGCCATCAGATGGGGAGACACTGATGGGCAGCTTGATTCATAGGGTCTGCAATGCTAACTTTATTGATCCCATTTTCTTTCCTGGCAGCCAATTCCTATCTTTCTTACCTTACACAATGCTGCAGATATTATATTTTATGGAATGGAAGTCTCAGTGCACAAAGAGGTATGGAGAATTAATTAAATAGCCTTTATATATATATTAAATAATTAATAAAATTAATTAAATAGCCTATATATATATAGGCTAAATATTTCAGACATTAATGCATGCAAATGGATTAAATGCAATACTTTTGCATCTGCTAGACATTCTATTACCACAATGTGGGATATATATAATCTTTGGAGGGAACACCTTCTCTTTTCATTTGTTTGGGTAGCTGGTGATAGAAAGTTTGCTACCAGCATTTGCAATTGTGATATATAGGATCCCTATAGATTATTTTTTTTTAAATTAAGAGATATATATGATCTGTAGACAACTGAATGCCTAGTCCAGTATATTGGTGAAGATGCTAAGGAAACACAGCCTGAAATCTTTGAATAAGTTGTAACCTTTGAGCTAGTTACTCTTAGAGCTTAGCACATGTTCCTGATTGTGAGGTAAAATAAATGTTGTTCTTCTATTACTGAAATCACAATAATTGGAATTCCGTCAGAAAACAGTTGACAGTTAAAAGTATGGTAAAGGTTTCTTTCATTAATCATATTTTGAAAGTGAGGTTTTTGATATTATTGTATTTTTTTTCTTAACAGCAGAACTCCACCCTAAAACTCTGCAGGTAAGTTTCCAATGTTTGTCCAATGTAGAAATGTATGGAATTTCACAGAGGCAGTACCTGAACAATTGATCCTCTATTTAATAAAGAGTTAGGACTGTTCATCATATATTATACGGTGATGAGAGCAAGTTTTAATAATGCAATACTCAGTTTAGTGCAACTTGTGAATTGATACCAGATCATGTTTAATGCAACTCAAAATTCAGTTAATGCAAGGTTAATGTGAGCGCATTACCAGTGGTAATTGGCACACTGG